ATATTATAATTAATATTAAGAATATATTCTTAATTTCAGAAGAATATCATCTAAAATCTTGAAGAAGATTTTTTAAGTATAAAATCTCCTACTTACAAGAATATAATTTTTTTGGTGGAGGATAATATTGCCCTACAAGTCAAACACAACAATTGTTCGAGCGATGATTTTCCCTTTCTCTCCGACACGGTATATTTATTCGATCAAACTTGAATGAAACTTTATTTGTGACGTTTCGCGGAGAAGATACAGAAAGAAACCACGCCGCCATTGTCAAACGTAAGTTTAACGATAAGTTTATCTTATTATTTCCATTGGTTTGTTCTATTTTCATATACGTTCCTGATGCGCGTTATTTAACATAAACGCGCGAAATTTCTATTATCCCGCGTTTTAAATTATACTTTCTTTTCTATACCAACGCAATGTTCTTCTTATCTAACAACGATTAGCGCGATCGGACGATACTGACGTTACAACATAGAGATACGTAGACACGTGGTGTCTTATCGCTCGCGGAATCGTGTGCACACACGCATCGCGCACGGTTCTGCGAGAACACTCTTGCTTGACACTCGGTTTTCACGAAATGTTCTGCGCGCTTGCACGTGCACAAAAATCCATTCACTATTGTCTTGCTGTTGCAGAGATTTCACAAGTTTAAAAAATCAGGCGTTAAATAAAATATGAGAAAAAAAAAACATTTTTTTTTGAACGACGAGCGAGAGACGAGGGAGACCAGATTTTTATACAACGTGTCCAAAATGCGCAACAATTTCGAAATTGTTGCTTCCCTCGGCGCAACAACAGCGTGAGCGACTTTAAAAAGTTCAATTTGAAGAACACTGAATTATAAATAAATGGCTGTTATTTTATCATTTATATGATAATTGACAGAGACAAGAGAGAGAGGGAGAGAAAGAGAGAGAAAGAAATTTATAAAAAAATATAATAAATTATAAATTTATATTTTATATTTATAATAAATTTATAAAGTAATTTCAAAACCTCCGTTAAATTAATAAAATTTTTCGACAGCAATATATTTCTATAAATTATATATAATGAAAAAGAATATATTCTTAATAATAAAAACTTCTAATAATAAATTTTCAAATAAATTAACAGATAATTGTTTCAGACCTAAATTCCAGAGAGAGAGAGAGACGCAACCTTCCTCTGACTTCTCCTCTGCGCTATTCAGTTACAAATGCGCACGTAAATCGCCGGCGTCGCGTGTGCATCGCACATCACACATGCGTCACTGTCATCACCATTCTCACCGCTCTCGGGATCATCCAGCATCATTCTGGACCTTCGTACTATCTGACGACGGCGCGTCGTTGCCCTCGTGCACTCTCTTCCTTTCTCTCTCTCTCTCTCTCTCTCTCTCTCTCTCTCTCTCTCTCTCTCTCTCTCTCTCTCTCTCGCTCTCCCCTCTTTCTTCTTATTTATGCATGTTCCGATCTTTCTCTTTCTCTCTCTCTTTTTTTTTCTCTATCGCCAAACCAAAAGCAACGTGTGTGTGTCTCTCTCTCTCTTTCTCCTCCGACTCTCGAAGCAGAAGCTCGCTGTAATCACGACGAGAAGGCTCTTATGTAACCGAGGCGACTCGTGACCGCCAATCGACGGGCTTCTTCCGCGCGTCGCGCGCTTCGTCGCCGCGCGATTTTCCGCGCGTCTCACTTTTAAAAGCGACCGCGAAACCTATTAAGAACACAGACATGTGTGTCATTTTATCTTATGTAGCGCTCGATTCGTATGCGGCTTTTCAAGTTGTTTCAAATTTAGAACGTCGAGAATAATTGCCTCCGGAAACTCGAATTTATTGTTGTTATTGTTATAGGAACGACGTTATTGTGAACATTCACGCTTACTCGACGAATCGTGTCTTTTTGTTCTCTTCGACGCTCCTTGCGAACGAAAAAAAAAAAATAAATAAAACCACAATTATTCGTCGGACCATTACCGCGATATCGATCGCATTTCGCGCGCGTCACACGTGCTCGCGCGCGAAAAAAACTCGTGCTGATTCATTAATATGCATGACTTTTTTTCTCTCTCTCGTAGAGCAGCGTATCTTACGTTGTTAGTGGAGGCACGTTTGTAACAAAAAACTTCGTTCGTAAAATACTTGATATATCTTACAATTCTTGACGTGACAAGAGCGGAATCGGACAAACGTCGTCAACATTCTTGTTTTTTTTCTTTCGACGATTATGTAGCTTGTCGTCTTGAAACTCTCTTCAAATAGCGGCGAGCCAAAAAAAACGGTTGGTACATATAACGCGCGATTGTAACGTTCAATGCCACAACGTCTTGGGGTCTCTCTCTCTCTCTCGCGGACTTGCTGACGTAGGATGCAATACGCCTACGTTTATCTCCGATCGCACAAAGCGCAAGTTAAAGTTAAACCAGGTCTTAACCCTGAAGATAACCCGGATTATATATATATATATCGGATCTCTAAACATCGTGTATCTTATCTCTGTTGTTGCACGAGAGTATTAAATAACGGGCAATTATATTGCGAGGAAAAAAAAAATTATTTAGTCTTCTAAATCAAAAGAGAATTTCAAAAAAAATCTCTCGCTCCTCAAATAGAAGTAAACAATGTTGTCGTCAAGAGAGAGAGACAAGCTGGTATACAAGATTAAAAATACTTTGTGACATAACTTCTCTCTCTTGAAAATTGTGTGTCGCAACTTGTGTCGGCACTTTGATAACTGCCTTGTGTTATTGATATTAATTTTTTTAACAAGAAATATATATATAAGACTGTACGAGCTATTCGCAGGATGTTTGTGCGGAAAACTGTGCGTGTATATATATATATATATATAAAAATATATATATATATATATATAATATATATATATATATATATATAACATATATATATAATATGTATATATATATATAAATATATATATATACACACATACACATATATATACACACACACATATATATATATATATATATATATATATACACACACATGTAACGAATTCTACTTGTAAATTTTTACAAGTGTTTTTTTAATTGAAATCTCAATTCTTATTCTTTATCAATTATTTTGTTTTCGCGAAAAAAAGTTTTTTATCAGTTCGCGCGTTAATTTTGATTTTGCAAAAACAAAAAAACAAAAAAAAAGATTTGCGACGTCAGAAATAAGCGAGATTGGTCGCGGATGATGATACGTGAGCACGGATCCGAGCTCTCTAAGTGACTTTAACCGGTCGCAACGGCTCGGTAATTGTCGCAAATTGACCAGCGGACCCCAAATGCGCGTGCGACGCGTGTGTGGTGGAACTATGCGCGTAAGCGTCAAGTCGTGCGATGCGCTTGTACGCGGGGAGAAGAATCTGAATTTGAATTTAAGAATATATAAGCGAGCGAGGGGAAGAGAGGGAGCGAACGAAAGCGTATTACGTGAGTGGTCGGGAAGGTAAATATTAGTCGCCTCGACGTGTGACAAACTCAAAGAGCTCTCACATTAATGCGATAATTATGTAATCGCAGTGCTCGCGCGATCTCTACTCGCGTTACACGCTCTCGCTTGCAATAAGATAATTAATATCTTATAAATTCCTGTCGCGCGCGGAGCTTCTCATCTTTTTTATATTTTTGCAGTTTTATTACCGATCTCCGTTCCTTCTTCACGAGGTCCAGTCTCTTCGCTTTTCCTCGCGCCGCCGGCGAGAACGCATTTATTAACGTAGCAACAGCCTACATCTGTTCCGCTCACACTCGATTGCGCTCAATTTCAAGAAGAGCTTTGAGAGAAACGACGCGCTTTAACACCCGCGCGAGTTTCTTGCAATCGAGAACACGGATTTGGCGGACAAATTCGATCTCGCGTGGAGACATCTCGGCGCGATAAAAATCTCGTGCGCGCGACGACGAGACGGCCGATGAGAAAAAACAGTTTCGTAATAAAAGGGGATCACATCAGGAAGGCTGTCATGGGAATCTCGCGGAGACAGAATGGGTGTAGAAAAGGTTTCGTCGGTCCCACGTGCTCGATTGCGCAAGCGGGAAGGGGGGGAACCCCCCGCACAACTGTCACTCTAATTTTAATCCTCCTCCGT